CTATTCTCAATACAGAGGTAATATAATCATTTGTTCGAAAATTATTACATAAAAATGTTATAAAAAAACTTTATTCTACATTCAATACCATCATTTGAGAAGAGACCGGAAGTGTTGAAACAAAATGATTATTTTTGTAGTGATTTTATAACCATTTTATGTTATAAATTTAATAATAATATATATATATATATATATATATATATATATATATTCTAGCAGTAGAGCCCGGCGTTGCCCGGGGATATTATACCAGTAAGAGATAGATCAAGTATCAACCATCAAAGACTGAAAAATAAAATTGACAAAGATTATTGTTTAAGGTTGACGGACACGCATGTCTTAATTAGTTTTTTTTTATTTTATTTTTTACGAATTGGTCAAACCCAAACTCAAACAAAAACATTGTTTTCAATCGTTATGAGTCTACCGATTGAATAGAATTTTATTATAAACAATTTTCTTGTAAATGGAATTTTTAAAGCATTCTGAATGTAAAAATAAAGAAAAAAGTGTGCAAGACAATAAGAAACACTACCTGCCCCCTCCCAAATAAGTGAAGTTTTGTTGAAATCGGTTGAAAAATGTAGGAAATGCGATCCTATATATAAACGAACACACACACACACACAAACTCGGTTTTATAAGTATAACTCGATATGAGTTACCCCCCCTTTCATTCTCGCGATGCCTCTTAATCGTGTTTTTAAATTGATTTCATGCAAAAACAAATGCGTTTTTCCAATTTTTGGCGCTGTCAGAACCACGACAAGGTAATTTTACGTAGTCCTGTGAAGTTTTGTTGAAATCGGTTGAAAAATGTAGGAAATCCGATCCAATATATAAACGTACAGACACACACACACACACACACAACCTGGATTTTATAATAAGTATGATATATATATATATATATATATATCAACACATCAAGTCTGCATATGTAGTATTTGATACCGTAGTAGACAGAATATTATAGTAGCATATATATATATATATATATATATATATATATATATATATAGTAATGTCAAATCCTTAAACGGTTAAGACGATTCAAATAGGTCTTTTTAATAAAAAATATTTAAAAGATAGATCCATGGAAATGTTTATACATTCCTTTTATAGATACAAATATTTAAGTAAATGCTCTGTTTATAATAAACAGTATTAAATAACATTTACCGGCCTGAATGTCCGAGAAATTGTCATAGAAGACGTGCGTCCCCCGACAGGAATCGAACCTGTAACGTATGCGGAACCGTCATATAGACTGACGTGGGGGTTTTTTTTTTACGGATTTCGAGACATTTTACTTAAATAATTGTATCTATAAAAAAGAATGTATAAACATAAAAATGTCTTAAAATAATGGCCGGTCTTTATCCATTTCATAATGTGTGTGTGTGTGTGTGTGTGTATATGTATGTATGTGTGTGTGTGTATGTATGAGTGTGCTTGTGTATTTAGGCAACAAATTCTTTTTTAGGCTTGTTTGTTTAAATAAATTACAAACATTATGTCTGCTTATTTTTAGTATAATCCGTTCATATTCACGGATATTTTTCCGTATATTACAATCAAATGATGCAAGAAACGCACTCTAACAGTGATAATCACTTTTATTTCCCAAGTACTTTCCATCTCGTTCTAAGATCATCATCAGGAGTGCAACTGGTAAGCCAAAAACTATGTGTAGCTATCAATTACAGTGTATTCCAGTATGCAAATGAGTTGAGTTCTTCATTCATTCTGCCGTATGAGTGGAAAGTATATTTTTTAATGAAACGGTGTCACTGAGTCATGTTCCGGGTGGCATTTATTACTACTTGCTTTATTATAACATTTATCACGAAGTTAAGCAACGTTGAACCAGGTCAGTACCTAGATGGGTGACCGCACGGGAATACCAGGTGCTGTGAGCTTGCATATGCGGGAGGTGGGTAAGGGTCCGGAATAAGTTATAATCATTTACGAGCAAATTCCTTTGAGAAAGGTATGAATCCATCTATTATTGCCCCATCTATGGGTTAAATAGTAAGATTTGTATCAGAAAAATTCATTATTTCCATAAAATTCTTACAGTACAAAAAGAACTTTCAGGTTTAAATTACCACCAAAAAGTTGATAAACCGTAAAAAATCAAATCGAACAAACTACCGGCTTGAGTGATATAATGGAATGTTTTATCGTCGCTAAATGTATAGTTCTTTTTTCTTTTTACGGTAAATTTCACCCTGAATGCGGCCCGGGGCCACTCAAGGTAGAGGGTTATGTTAATGGGAAGTTTATATGGATAGGAGGGGGAAGATAACGGTTAACTTGAACAGGTTAAGAGTGTAGTGATCGGGGAAACATCCTCTTGGGAGTCTGTTCCACGGAGCAGTGGTTCATGAGATAAGCTGTTCAATGGTAAGCCATTAGTGGCAATGGTAATTTCAATGGTGCATTCCCAGCATCCTTCTGTAGAATTACATATCTATTGTTTCAAATCTTTTCTTCATCAGTGAAGAGATTGTCCAATGTTCTTTTTTTTACAGTAATGTTCACCCTATACGTGGCCGGGGGGGGAGTGCACTTGAGATAAAGAGTTACGTTATGGGTCAGTTTATGCCGATAGAGGAAGATAAGGACTCTGACTTGAATTAATAGTGATTGAATCTAGACTGTTCCACGGGGCAACAGAAAAAGCTCTTCGATGTTAAGCCATTAGTGGCAATGGTGTCTTCAATGGTATAACATCCTTCTTGGGAGTTTGCTTTCTCTTTATCATTAGGGGAGATTGTCAACATCCTTTTTTACAGTGGTTTTCTTGGAAAGAACGTTATGGCTCAGTTTATTAGATGGGATGTTGAATAACGGTTGAATCTAGACTTGAAAACTTGAAACCAAGGGAGTTAAGATTGTCGTGATGAAACATCCTCTTGGGAAAGGAAAGTGTTTTCAATGAAACTGTTCAAGTGAAACTTACTTGCCGATGGAATACGGGGGTAATATGGGTGCTTTGTTAATGGTGGGTCCTAACCGTGCTCGTTAGATCTTGCTTTGAATTCAGAGTTTTTTAATCTAAGAGAAGGAAAACGTCTAAAAATACTTTTCCTGGAAACCAACGCTAGAAAGTGTAGTCTACCCTATTACTTAACCTGTAGTTAAAAGAGAAAAGGAATGGATTAATGAATTTCCCCCAAGAGAATCTGTGTGTGAAAGTGAATACGGCTGATTAGCCCGGAATCCGAACTCTGTAGGATTTCACGGAAATATCTGTTGCCCAACCCGGAGACCACGTGACCAAACGATTTCTTTTTTTTTATAAAATATTTTCAGCATTAAATAACTCTTATCACGGAGAATTCGATCATTTTTGAATACGTGTTTGGAAGTATTTTAAAATCATAGAATCAAACAACGTATTTCGATTTCTATTCAAAAAATCTTTGTTCATTTAAAAAAAAACAAAAACAAATATGTGATTTAAAAAAAAAAAGAAATTGCTAGTTAGCCTGAATAGGTGTAGGGTTTTTTTCTTTTGTTCATCGTTTGTAACGTGTTACAATTATATTCTAAAGAAATTATCGACCGTTGTGGATCTGATGTTATCATGTTCAGGTAACGTGACAAGAAAGTTGTCTAGTTTCGATGTTCAATATTTATTCCAAATTATCAATTTTTTTTTTGTGTGTATGTCATGATTTGAATATTCGTGCTAATGTTTTCAAACCATCGATCTAAATGCATTGCATGATCTGTGATCGAAAAGAAAAAACATTTCTTTTGCTGAAGAAATTCCATATTTTACGTCGAAAGGTCACCGAATGTAAGGCATTTCAAAATTCCTTTAATGTTTCCAAGCAATACGTTATCCGCCGGTCCACCTCGGATGGACTGAACCCCTGGGATCACATCAGATATCTGTATTATACGTTTTTTTTTTTTCATTTTTTAACCATTTCACCCCAAGCAAGGCAACAAAGCCACTAAGATGCACGGTTTTACTGAGTGTGAAACGCTATGACAAAAAGAAACACTATTAATGACAGAAGGCGTAAAAGAACGGCATTTAAATAAAGGTTGATATTGGATTTAAATTCTTGAAGAGCAAAATTGACTGGGAAGCAAGAAGCAAGAAGGGAGTTCCACAAGCGAGAAGTGCGATTGAAGAAACTGTTAGCATAGAACTTACGATTTCATCTAGCCATTTCAACTGTAAATTGATGAAATCTTACCGGCAATGTAGCACAGTGTTTAAATTCGTAAAGTCTAGCTCCCATAGGGAAAGGTTCATAAAAACAATTAGCATGAAAATATTTATAGAAAAGGCCGAGGGAGGCTATATTATGGTTTAAATTCATAAAGTCTACGTACCAAAGAGGAAAGCTCATCAGAACAATTAGCATGAAAATATTTATAGAAAAGGCTGAGGGAGGCTATATTATGGTTTAAATTCATAAAGTCTACGTACCAAAGAGGAAAGCTCATCAGAACAATTAGCATGAAAATATTTATAGAAAAGGCTGAGGGAGGCTATATTACGGTTTAAATTCATAAAGTCTACGTACCAAAAGAGGAAAGCTCATCAGAACAATTAGCATGAAAAATATTTATAGAAAAAGGCTGAGGAGGCTATATTATGGTTTAAATTCATAAAGTCTACGTACCAAAGAGGAAAGCTCATCAGAACAATTAGCATGAAAATATTTATAGAAAAGGCTGAGGGAGGCTATATTATGGTTTAAATTCATAAAGTCTACGTACCAAAGAGGAAAGCTCATCAGAACAATTAGCATGAAAATATTTATAGAAAAGGCAGAGGGAAGCTACATTAAGGCAGTGGGATGCAGATATGTCAGGTCAGGACCAATAACATTGCAGATTCTTCTTTGGGTTATCTCAAGGATCTCTAAATATATAGTAGGAGCACTAAACCAGACGTGGAGGCAATATTCAAGACAAGGACGAATGGCAGACTTGTAAATATATAAGATAGATTCGGCCGAGAAAAATTGTCTGGGTGAGGGTACCAACTTTCCTAGTAGCAGACGGAGAAATGTTATCGGAAAAGTTTAGTCGGAAAAGTCGCAATGAGTCACCCACCCTGTCATGTTAAAATCAATTAATATATATATATATATATATATATATATATATATATATATATATATATATATATATGTGTGTGTGTGTGTGTGTGTGTGTGTGTGTGTGTGTGTGTGTGTGTGTAACGCGCCATCTTGTGCAACCCCAAATTTTCCTTATTTTTGTGACGTACGGTGTCCGTTAATAATTAAGGATAACTCAAGATTTCAATGTTAGGATAAGACATTATTTAATTACAACCGCAAATAAATACTTAACAAGTTAAAAGAAGTAAAAGTCAACCAAATATAATTAACCATTTCAGTGAATACCTTGTTAGAAGCGCTGCTCGGCTTAACGTCCAGTAAATCCTAAATCAAAATCAAAATCAAAATCATTCACACTAATTCGACTGGATAGTTCCACTCAATAGTCATCGCAGTCAGTAGCCTGACACTGCTATTTATACACCTGTCGAAAAAAAACATATTCATAATCCAGAGTTTCACGCTCGAACCTCAGTGTCGGTAGTCACTCATTTTCTTCCTAGATGACAAATTATTATACTTTACATTATTTACATTTTAACTAATATTTTTATCTTTTTTGTTATTGTTGCAATAATATCGAGAAAAAATAACCACGAAACTAATTAGGTTTCTTTTTTCCAGGTTTTCAGGTGAGTCGTTTAGCCATCTTGACACCATCTGTCGTAAGAATCAGTGAAAACCCTTTTCAGTTAATTTTGTGGCGTCCGGTGGTCGTTACTAATTAAATATAACTCCAGACTACAATGTTAAAATAAAACAAAATTTAATTAAAATCGCAAATAATTAACAAGAACAAAGAATTAAAAGTCAGCCAAAGATAATTAATCATTTAAGTGAATACCTTGTTAGTAGCGCGACTCGGATTAAAATCCAGTAAATCTTACATCAAAACCCAAATCATCGACGCATAATAATTCACACTAATTCGACTGGATAGTTCCACTCAATAGTCATTCAATAATCACTGCAGTCAGCAGCCCGACATCGCTATTTATACACCTGGCGGAAAGCATTAAGTCCAGAGTCTCACGCTCAAACCTCGATGACGGTAGATACTCATTTTCTTCCTAAATGACAAATTATTATAATTTACATTATTTACATTTTGACTAATATCCTCATTTTTGTTGTTATTGTTGCAATGATATCGAAAAAAAAACTAATTGGGTTTCTTTTTTCCAGGTTTTCAGATATGACTTGTAGCCATCTTGACACCTTAAGAATCAGTGAAAACTTCTTTCAGTTATTTTTGTGGCGTACAATGGCCGTTAATAATTAAATATAACTCAAGACTTTCATGTTAAATAAAACAGTATTTGATTACAACCGCAAATAAATACTTTACAAGTTAAAAGAAGTAAAAGTCAACCAAAGATAATTAACCATTTCAGTGAATACCTTGTTAGAAGCGCTGCTCGTCTTAACGTCCAGTAAATCCTAAATCAAAATCAAAATCATCGACGCACAATAATTCACACTAATTCGACTGGATAGTTCCACTCAATAGTCATTCAATAATTACTGCAGTCAGTAGCCTGACACCGCTATTTATACACCTGCGGGAAAACATTAGGTCCAGAGTCTCACGCTCGAACCTCGTTGTCAGTAGTTACGCATTTTCTTTCTAGATGACACGTATAAAAAATGATTTTAGCGTGTATCATGCGAGCTCCTTTTTTTAGAGACCAAATTACAATAGACTAACTTCTTTTCCTCTTTATCGCATCTTCTAGTTAAATAAGTTTAATAAAGAGTAAAAGAGAATGATAAAAGTATCGCGTACAGCCATAAACAACCAAATGAGAAACAGCTAAACATCTTATAAACGTAAACAATAGAAAAGATGCATATTTGTGTTTTGTATTTTATAATACGATATTAATATGTGAATATTATATGCATTATTATTGGATACAGTTAAGGAAAACATTAGTTTTATCAAAATCATGTTTATTTTAAATACAGCTGTGCTTTTTGACTACAGAAAATTGATATATAGTTTGGTTAACGGTGTAGCCAGGGCCAGCAGTACATAGGCTAATTTTAAATCTCATGTATGATGCGACACTCTTAAAATTAGCTTCAAAATGAGGTCTTCAAAAGTCGCATGATACGCGAGTATATACGATATATAGAACAAAACAAACTATAAGAATATTTTTGGAAGTTACTTAAATCCTGTCTAGATTATAGAAATGGATAGCATATATAGTGACCAAGAAATGGGGGATGCGTTCAATACTAAAGAACAATACAAAACTGATCCCTCATTTTCTATCATCCTTTCTTTATAGGTACATTTGTTATATCTAGCGTATATACTCGCGTAGCATGCGACTTTTGAAGGTCTAATTTTGAAGCCAATTTTAAGGGGGTCACATCATAGACGAGATTTAAAATTAGATTTATTCTAAATTTATTTCACTTCAAAATAAAATTTGTAGGTCTGATGAATTGGATCGTGGTTACGATTCCCATGTAATAAATTATAACCAGGGAATATTAATGTTTGAATATTATTATATATATATATATATATATATATTGAACATTAATATTATCGATATATATATATATATATACATATATATATACATAGATAGATAGATAGATACATATATATATATATATACTGACCACTAATATTATCGATATATATATATATATATATATATATATATATATATATATATATATTGACCACTAATATTATCGATATATATATATATATATATATATATATATATATCATATAGAATTGGATCGTGATTACGATATATATATATATATATATATATATATATATATATATATATATATATATATATATATATATATATATATATATATATATTGACCATTAATGTTATCGATATATATATATATATATATATATATATAGAGAGAGAGAGAGAGATTGATAGATATATATATATATATATATTGACCACTAATATTATCGATATATATATATATATATATATATATATATATATATATATATGATACAAAGATTATATATATATAATATATATATATATATATATATATATATATATATATATATATATATATATCATATAGAATTGTATCGTGATTACGATTCCAATGTAATAAATTATAACCAGGGAATATTAATGTTTGTGCATTATATATATATATATATATATATATATATATATATATATATACCTCATTCTGTTCATAACTATCTTATTGATGATACTTATATCAATGCATCGCACTTCGTTCAATCACATTCTACCTTGACTGGCTCTTGTGCCTTGCATTGACTGAACTTAAAAATACAATTTATAAATCTTTGCGAATGGTTGCTTTGCCTTGTCTCCGGGGCAATATAAAACAACTACAGAAACAACAAAGTCTTCTTCGGTAACTGTTCATGGCAGACTAAAGTGCCAAGACATTATTGGACTAGTTTTTTTCTGAATATGGTTTTCCTCTCAGCCAAACATGGCATAACCATTGTTCAGTCAAGAACAAAAGCCCGCAGAGAATTCGAAGAAGACAAGAAAAAATATAGAAAGAATGATTTATTGAAATTTAAGAAATGACAAGAACAATGGAGATTGTATTTTGCCTAAAATTTTGACAGTCGAGTTGTATGGATTTGTCTACACGGGACAAATAGATCGGAATAGAATGGCATAGAGGGAAGAATCGATCGCTTTCTGTTCATTTCTCTCAATGTCATACAGTTCATATCAGTTCCTCCCTATCTATCTATCTATCTATCTATAACAGACATTCATTTGTCTCTCCCCCTCTCCCTCTCTCGGCCTCCTGACCGTAGATATTTCTCAGTCTGTTCATGTTTATCTATCTATCTATCTATCTATCTATCTATCTATCTGTCTGTCTTTCCACCTGAGTCTGTTCTTTATCTATCTATCTATCTATCTATCTATCTATCGATCTATCTCATTCTGTTCATATCTATCTATCGATCACATTCTTATCACATCTATCTATCTATCTATCTATCTATCTATCTATTTGATTCTTTTAACATCTATCTATCTATCTCAATCTGTTCATATCTATCTATCGATCACATTCTTTTCACATCTATCTATCTATCTATCTATCTATCTATCTATCTATCTATCTATCTATCTTATTCTGTTCATATCTTTCTCATTCCGTTCATATCTGTCTCATTCTTTTCACATCTATCTATCTATCTATCTATCTATCTCCTTCTTTTTCATATCTATATATCTATCGACCTCATTCTGTTCATAACTATGTATCTCATTTTCATATCTATCTAAATCTGTTCATATCTATGTACCTAGTTATCACTATTGTTATAATAATAATAATAATAATAATAATAATAATAATAATAATAATAATAATAATAATAAAGACAACAACTATTGGCTTACTAACTTACATGGAAACAACAAATGACTGGATGATAAAATTAGTGAAACAACATGAAAACAGAAAGAAAAAATATTCAATAATAAAAGAAGGCAGTAAATACAAACAACATTTACATTTAGTAGATTCTGTAGTAAATCAAAACAGAAGCCAAGAACCAACTATTGCAGCAAAAGATATGAAAAAGAAAGCCAAGGATAAAGCCCTTGAACAGATGAAACAACGCTGGCAAGACAAACCTCTGCATGGCCAATATCCAGAACGTGCAAATAAACCCAATGTTGATAAAGTTAATACTCATCGATGGTTACGAGCATCTGGATTAAAGTCTGAAACTGAAGGCTTTATTCTTGCAGCGCAAGACCAGAGTCTTTTTTCACTAGAAATTTTCAGGCAAATATCATACATAATAATGTGGATCCAAAATGCAGGTTCTGTGACAAATACCAAGAAACAATAGACCATCTAATCTCAGGATGTTCTATACTTGCCCCAAATGAATATAAAAAATCGTCACGATAGAGTGGGGCAATACTTACACTGGACAATGTGCAAACACTTTGGAAAATGTGTAAGCAAACACTGGTATGAACATCGGCCAGCGCCGGTTACAGAAATAGAAGATGTCACCATTCTATGGGATTATACCATCCACACAGACAGAAAAATTGAAGCAAATAGGCCGGACATTATTGTCAAAAACCAGAAAGAAAAAAACTTGCCTACTAATTGATATGGCTTGTCCAGCGGATTGTAACATAGCAACCAAGGAATTTGAAAAACTATCAAAATACAAAGACCTGGAAATTGAAATAGAAAAAAAATGTGGAAATTGAAAACAAGAATAATACCAGTGGTAATAGGTGCACTTGGAATTATAAAAAATGGAACAAAACAACACATTGAAAGAATCCTGAAACCCCCAGCTTAAGAGACATACAGAAAATTGTCTTATTAAGTACAACACACACACTAAGGAGAACTTTGTCTATGTAACGCTAGCAACTTCATCGGAAAAAAAAAAAAAAAAAAAAAAAAAATTAACATGAAATGTGGCCATAACAACACACCACGACCTGCCTTAGGTCTTTCCGCAGACTTGGTAGGTAGTGTGTCCATAGCAGAAATCGAATGATGATGATGATGACAATGATAATAATAATAATAATAATACCATCTCTCTGTCTCTGTATCTGACCCTTAAAAACTCTCGATAACGTCATACCTTAGTTACCTTTCCTGAAGCCTTACTTAATTATGTTTACCGGTCAGAATGTTCGAGAAATTTCGTAGAAAATATGCTTTCTCCAACAGGGATCGAACCTGCATCCGTCGATTTATTTACATTCATGTTTTAATTAAAGAACTCAGCATGTACTCATATAAGTTGTTATATAAGAATGAAGGGGTCACTGCCAACACTTGAGATGGAAGATAGATCCCCAGTGAGTAAACACAAGCGATCCCATTTTTGAATTAAGTGGACCACGTGACCATAGAGAAAACGCACATATAGGAAGCCACTTGATGCCCAAATGATCGCTATTTCTGCGAGTGTTATTCGAAGGTGTCTGACACCAGTATTGTTCAACGGCGTTACTATAGTTGTATCTGCGATTACAAAGTCTCTACTACAACGAGCATTAAGAAAGTGACAGTGAGTATTCACTGACATCAAGAAGTGGCAACGGATGTTCGTTCATATCACAAAAAAGAGGATACATAAAAATAAAGTATAAGTAGAAAATATAATAATTATTTGCTGTATTTGATCTATTATATATATATATATATATATATATATATATATATTTATTTATATATATATATATATATATAAATCTTAGATTTTGTAGACGCGTTTCGTCTTCGTCGACAGGGAAAAAAATCTCTTAATATAAAAGAAATTTAGATTAACCAGAAAAAGGCTTAGACAGAATTTGGATTTTTTAAATGTAACTATAACAACAAAGACATTTCATTTTTGCCTTGAAAATGTCGGAAGACGAAACGCGTCGGCAAAATCTAAGACTTTTTCCAACTGTCTTTTATTTTATATATATATATATATATATATATATATATATATATATATATATTATTTACATATAATGTGTTCTCATCTTTGTCGCCATATTTATCACGTTTCGCCCGTTGTACGCTATTCAGGTGTTTGGAATGTCGAACCCTTTATTTCGCTCACTGGGATAGACTGTTCTAGTTCCACGTGCCATGTTTGATTGATGTCAGTTATCAATTATCTCCTGTTAATTTTCCCTCTGAAAGTTCTCCACTGCCGGGTATTGAACTCACTCTCTTTGGGTCCTGTCACTGGATCTAACCAACGCCTTTATCCAATGTGCCATGTGTCATTGAGGACATCTGGGTATGAATTTCTGGTTATTATAAACCTAATGTCATCATTCCAACCACCTGAAGATGGCCGGAGCGTACAACGGCCGAAACTTTGGGATACATATGGCGACAAAGATGAGGACAATAGTCCGAATAATGTAAATAATGTACTTAATACCTCATCTCAGAAATATAGACAGATACTGAAGGGCCGAAACGTTGTAATAAATATGGCGACAAAGATGTGGATAATAGTCCGAATAATGTAAATAATTTACATAATACCTCATCTCAGAAATATATATATACATATATATATATATATATATATATAAAGGAGTAGTAATGGGGAGCTGCTCGAATTGAGGAATCGGAGAGCCGAGTTCGAATTCCAGTCGAATCCATTATATTCACTTACGTGCTTGGGAAAGTTATGTATCCTCCTCTTCTCCCCACCATCTATGACTAGGTTCTATAGCCTTGGATGGCAACTGGTCTAGGAGAAGAACAACTCCGAATTCAAAACCTGCGGAGGGTTGTTTGGGGACGTTGTAGCACGTAGTGCACCAGGTCTCTGTATTCGGCCCTTCAAAAAGTGTGGATGGTACTTCACAAAACCCTCAGTGCTATCATCAAATCATATGTGGAGGTGTCTGGCTGTCGGCTCCAAGGAACTGAGTGGCTATATATATATATATATATATATATATATATATATATATATATATATATATGCACACACCCATTCAGTTTGCTCGATTGTCTCTGTTCATATCTATCTATCTCATTCTGTCCATATGTTTCTTTGTTCATATCTATCTATCTATCTATCTAGCCAGTTCTGTTCATTATCTATCAATCTATTTATCTATCGATCTATCTAGCCAGGTCTGTTCATTATCTATCTATCTATCTATCTATCTATCTATAACAGACTTCCATTTTCTCTCTCTCTCTCTCTCTCTCTCTCTCTCTCTCTGCCTCGTGAACGTGACATATCTCAGTCTGTACATGTTTATCTATCTATCTATCTATCTATCTATCTATCTACCCAGTTCTGTTCATTATCTATCTATCTATTTATCTATCTATCTATCTAGCCAGGTCTGTTCATTTTCTATCTATCCATCTATCTATCTATCTATCTATCTATCTATCTATCTATCTATCTATCTAGCCAGGTCTGTTCATTTTCTATCCATCTATCTATCTATCTATCTATCTATCCATCTATCTATCTATCTATCTCAGTTGGTATCTATCCATCCATCTATCCATCTATCTATCTTATTCTGTTCATATCTATCTGTCTATTTCAGTCTGTTCTTATCTATCTATCTATCTATCTATCTATCTATCTATCTATCTATCTATCTCAGTTGGTATCTATCTATCTATCTATCTATCTATCTATCTATCTATCTATCTCAGTCAATTGGTATCTATCTATCTATCTATCTATCTATCTATCTATCTATCTATCTATCTATCTTATTCTGTTCATATCTATCTGTCTGTCTATTTCAGTCTATTCTTATCTATCTATCTATCTATCTATCTATCTATCTATCTATCTATCTATCTATCTATTAATACTTATCATTTCTTTTCGGAGTCTGTCCATTTCTCTTCGCTTCGGATCCATCTGTCTCCCAAATCAAGAGTTCAGATGTCGATCTAAGTTAAAAGACAAATCCAACATGACCTTTGACCTGAACGTAATGTGTTCCCTAATGAAAGGTCCCATCGAAAATCGGACTATGATAAGTCCCGTGTCTGCTTTGGGCTACTTTTGATGACGGACATTGAAATATTGGGTTGGATCTTACATTGGTAAACGGAAGTTGCTGACGTCCATCCAAACCGGATTTTACTTCCCTCGGGACAGATAACACGAGATATTACGAGACTGAGATTGTCTATTAAACAAGATGTCTACATTCTGGACTTTAGCCAAAGGCGAAATATACGAGTTAAGAAAGAACAGAAGGAAGGACGATTGCTATAATACTGTGACAGGATTGAACAGAATGAATGAATAAATGAATGAACGAATGAAAGAAAGAAGAATGAAAAATAAAAAAGAAAGAAAAAAAAACAACATTTAAAAAACAAACGTGTGAATGATAAACCCGAAATAAAAATAAAATTAAAGGAAAAAAGAAAGAAAATTAAAAGAGCGAAATCAAAAAAGTATGAGCGAATAAATAAATGAAAAATCCGACAGAAAGAAAGAAAGAAAGAAAGAAAGAAAGAACGCCGAAAAGACTATAAAAGATGGGTAAAGAAATAAATTATGAGAACAAAGAAAGAAAGATATAAATAACGAAAGAAAAAAAGAAAGAAAAAAGTAAGAGAAATAGAAAATAAAAGATTGGTAAAGAAAGAAATTATGTGAACAGAGGAAAAAAAGAAAGAAAAACCGAACATAAAAGAAAGAAAGAAAGAAAGAAAGAAAGAAAGAAAGAAAGAAAAGAGTCCAGAATAGAATGAAAGAAAAACTGAACATAAAAATTGGTAAAGAAAGAAGGAAAGAAAAGAAAGAAAGAAAGAAATGAAAGAAAGAAAGAAAGAAAGAAAGAAAGAAAGACATGAAAGAAAGACAGAACGCCGAAAAGAATATAAAAGACAAAAAAATAAATAAATAAGAACAAACACGAATGAAAAAAGGGTAAAAGATAGGAAGGAATGAATGAATGAATGAATGAATGAATGAAGGAAGGAAGGAAAGAAGGAATGAATGAAAGAATGAATGAATGAAGTAAGGAAGGAAGGAAGGAAGGAAAGAAGGAATGAATGAATGAAAGAAGGAAGGAATGAATGAATGAAGGAAGGAAAGAAGGAAAGAAGGAATGAAGGAAGGAAGGAAGGAAGGAAAGAAGGAATGAATGAATGAAAGAAGGAATGAATGAAGGAAGGAAGGAAGGAAAGAAAGAAGGAAAGGAGGAAGGAAGGAAGAAAGGAAGGAAGGAATGAAAGAAGGAAGGAATGGATGAAGGAAGGAATGAATGAAGGAAAGAAGGAATGAAGGAAGGAAGAAAGGAAGGAAGGAAGGAAGGAAGGAAAGAAGGAATGAATGAATGAAAGAAGGAAGGAATGAATGAATGAAGGAAGGAAGGAAGGAAGGAAAGAAGGAAAGAAGGAAGGAAGGAAGGAAAGAAGGAAAGAAGGAAGGAAGGAAGGAAGAAAGGAAGGAAGGAATGAAAGAAGGAAGGAATGAATGAAGGAAGGAATGAATGAAGGAAGGAAGGAAGGAAGGAATGAAGGAAGGAAAGAAGGAAGGAAGGAAGGAAAGAAGGAATGAATGAAGGAATGAATGAAGTAAGGAAGAAAGGAAGGAAGGAATGAAAGAAGGAAGGAATGAATGAAGGAAGGAATGAATGAAGGAAGGAAGGAAAGAAGGAAAGAAGGAAGGAAGGAAAGAAGGAATGAATGAAAGAATGAATGAATGAAGTAAGGAAGGAAGGAAGGAAAGAAGGAATGAATGAATGAAAGAAGGAAGGAAGGAATGAATGAATGAATGAAGGAAGGAAGGAAGGAAGGAAGGAATGAATGAAGGAATGAATGAAGGGAGGAAGGAATGAATGAATGAATGAATGAATGAATGAAGGAATGAAGGAAGGAAGGAAGGAAGGACTTGCGTGAAAAAAGATAAAGAAAATAACAGAATATTGAAAGAAAAAAGAATCGAAAGGAAAATAACATGAAAGAAAAAATAAAATTATGAACAAAGAAAGAAAGAAAGAAGTCGGGAAAATCAATATGTTAAGGAAATAAAGAAACAATATAAAAGACGAATAAAGAAAGAAAGAAAGAAAGAAAGAAAGCGAACAGAGAGAGCAAGAAAAGAAAAGAATGATAATGCCAATATTATAAAAAAAGAATGAATGAATGAAAGGCAGTAATAAAAAATGAATGAAAAATCCGAAATCAAAAAAAGAAAAGGCTAAAAAAAAAAAAAAAACAAATAAAAGATCGTAATAAAAAGGAATAATTAAATGAAAAATACGAATTAAAAAAAGAAAAAGAAAAACCGAATATAAAAGAAGGAAAAAAAATATAAATTAATGAGAGAAACAAAAGAAGAAGGAAAAAAAAGAATTAAAGAATGAAATAAAACGCAAAAATAAAAAATAAAAAATGAATGACCGTAATAATGAAAGAATGAACGAATGAATAAAAAAACAGAAATTAAAAAAAGAACGAAAAAATGGAATTTCCTTCATTTTCAATTTTCGTTTACTTTTTTAAATCTTCGAAATAAAATAAATAAAAAGCCCGATTTAAAAATGAAAAAAAGAAAGAAAGAAAGAAAGACAGAAAGAAAGAAAGAAAGAAAAAAATGATTGAATGAAAGACGAAATCCTTCAATCCAATGAAAGAAAAAAAAGGAAGGAAAAAACTGCAGTCAGAGGGGGAAAGAAAAGAAGAAAATGAAAAAAAAAAGAAAGTAAAAAGGAATGAAAATAAAAAAAAAAAGAAGGAAACGAAAATATTTTGTCAAATGCAGCAGAAAACTGTCGAGATATTGAACAGGAATTCGAATTTTGCTTCAAGCATTTTCTTTAATCTGTCTTTTCACCGGTAAACAAACCTAATCTCCCTCGTTTGTATGGAGGTCCACCCTTTACAAGGTCCCGGAACCACTCGAGGTGGAGGGTTACGTTTGGAGGTCATTTGTTTGTATAGGATTGGAAGATAACAGTTAACCCTAGCTTTGAACAGGTTAAGGTTGTAGTAATCGGGAAAATATCCCGATGGGAGCCGGTTCCACAAGGAATAAACAGCTCGATTGGAACCTACTCCTACTACTGCTACAACCCTGTTTATAAAAGCTACAAAAAGATGAAAGTAGAATTAAGTACTTTTATATCTTCTAAAACTGTAAATATTTCTTGCTATCTATCAAGATCATTTAAACATGGTACAAGGCAGCAAGTCTAGTTCAAATCCTTGGCTAATATAGCGCATTCATTTTCACACACTTGGACTTGTGAAAGGTCTGAATTTCGTCAATTCTTTTCAACAATCCAAGCTTCTGGCTAAAAAGGATGGCTGGCCGTTCCAACCAATTTAAGAGAAGGGAATCACTCGTTTAAAGCATATTGACAACACCAGGGAATCACTCCATTATTTTTTCGCTAGAAACAATCGTATTTTTTTTTTAGAAAAAAATAAAGAATCAATGCAGAGAGTAAAGTTCTGAAAGAAACTGGATTTTTAAAATGGCTGAAGATTAACCCTTAACACTTTTTGCGTACGTTCTAAGAGAATCTAGTAAGAAAAATGATTAAGGATAACGAGACATGTTACCTGTTAGTCTACGGTCTAAGAGAATCTGGTATTAAAATTGGCTGACTTGTAACTCTTTAAGCCTACGTTCTACGACAACGAGGTATTAAAAATGGTTGAAGATCACGAGATGCTTAACCTATTAGCGTACGATCTAAAAGAATCTGCTATTAAAAATGGCTGACCATTACAAGACTTGTAACCCTTTTAGCCTACGATCTAAGAGAATCTGGTAATAAAAATGGCTGACAATTACAAGTCTTGTAAGTCTTTTAGCCTACGATCTAAGAGAATCTGGTATTAAAAATGGCTGACCATTACAAGCCTTGTAATCCCTTTTAGTCTACGATCTAAGAGAATCTGGTATTAAAAATGGCTGACCATTACAAGACTTGTAATCCCTTTTAGCCTACGATCTAAGAGAATCTGGTATTAAAAATGGCTGACCATTACAAGACTTGTAAATCTTTTAGCCTACGATCTAAAAGAACTGGTATTAAAAATGGCTGACCATTACAAGCCTTGTAATCCCTTTTAGCCTACGATTTAAGAGAATCTGGTATTAAAAATGGCTGACCATTACAAGACTTGTAAGTCTTTTAGCCTACGATCTAAGAGAATCTGGAATTAAATTTGCTGACTATTACAAGACTTGTAACCATTTTAGCCTACGATCTAAGAGAAACTGGTATTGAAAATGGCTGAAGATTACAAGATTTGTAACCATTTTAGCCTACGATCTAAGAGAACCTGATATTAAAAATGGCTGACGATTACAAGATTTGTAACCATTTTAGCCTACGATCTAAGAGAATCTGGTATTAAAAATGGCTGACGATTACAAGATTTGTAACCATTTTAGCCTACTATCTAAGAGAACCTGGTATTAAAAATGGCTGACGATTACAAGATTTGTAACCCTTTTAGCCTACGATCTAAGAAAATCTGGTATTAAAAATGGCTGACCATTACAAGACTTGTAACCCTTTCAGCCTACGATCTAAGAGAATCTGGTGTTAAAAATGGCTGATGATTACAAGACACGTAACCACTTTGGCTTGTGGTCTAAAAGAATCTGGTATAAAAAATTGTTGTGGCTCACGAAACCCGTAACCATTTAGCCTCGAGAATGATTCATAACTTTCTCAGGAGAAACATAACATTCACGTAAGTGATGAACTCGACTGGACAAGGCATTATTCAACGAACTCGACTGGATTTCGAACTCGGTTCGCAGCCTCTAGCCATTACTCCATCAAAGCTTCCCTGCCATATAACTATATATATATATATATATATATATATATATATATATATATATATATATATAAACATTTAAAACCATCAGTGGAAACGCGGCGAGCAATCATTTAACATGACTAAAAAAAAAATAAAAATAAAAACTAGACGCGATATCCCGAGACATGGCCAGTGGAACGAGAAAAGTCTACCACCGTAGATTAAATAAAGTGTTCAGTTTGGAATTCCCTGAATATATCGATCAGGGTAACCTACAGGGCGAGCAATATCTGAGCAGTACTAAAAATAAGAACTAGACGAGATATCTCTAGACATGGGCAATGGAACGAGAACAGTCTACTCCCGTAGATTAAATAAAGGATTTTGTTTTGAAATTCCCAGAATATATCGATCCGGGTAATCGCAAAAATTTAGGTGGAACTTTGAACTTAATTTCTGGATTCCACTGACTGCGTCGATGACACTTGCGTTACCTGTATGTTCTATCTCCAATAACTCTTAATTTTGCGTCTTCTGCCCTTAGATTTTTCGAAGTGTTTTGTTAAAGACAACAAATATTAAGAAAAATATCCGAATGACTGATTCTAAGAAGACCCTGTCTCAGAAATTCACATTCACAGCTAGGACACCGAATTTCTCTTGTATGAAACAACTCGAGAATGTGTGCAGGCTGAAAGCTGTCATCAGCAATCTCTCGAATCACTTGTCTTTTAAAACCCCCCAATTTTTTCATCAAACAGAATATGAGATTGCCTAAACGACAGGTTGTCTATCTAACGAGGAAGTAATCTACACAAAGCGTCAAATCTTGGGCGCCATTTAAGTGGTTGCTTCAACGCATGTGCCAAGTTATGGCATCCGGGACATTATTCTATCCTGACAGAAAACCGGAAATACGACATTTTACGTTAAAGGGGACCTGTTAAGAAAATAAAATAATTTCAGAGAGACGAATGTGGAAGGGATATTTAAAATAATTGGTGAAAATGATGTAAATAGAATATATATATATATATATATATATATATATATATATATGTATGTGTGTGTGTATGTATATATATATATATATATATATATACATATACATACATATATATGTGTGTGTGCGTGTGTTGTGTGAGTGTGTGTCTATATATATTTATATAGTTTTATATTTTATATGTAAAATTCTATAAAATTCCACGTTGCATATATTTCACATGCAATGACAAGATACGATACTTGGAAATAGAAAAAGTTAAATGAATTAACCGAGAAAAAAACATTTCTCGTAATTCTTCGCGTATAAGCAAAATTAGGGTGCGTATTATACACAGCTACAAAAACATCTTTAAAAATTGCCATTTCATAGTTCGATTTTAGTTACGAAAAGATGACCCACCACAATTATACTACAATTTGACCTTATAAGGATGTCAAATACAATCTCATGTACCTAACAATACATACAGATGTAGAATAAAATAAGAATTATCATAAAACTAACTTAGAATAATATTATTCTATGTTTAAAATCATTTTTTAAAATAAGTGTAGGAAACATTGGCTGTAATGAAATTGGAGAGGTAGAATTTTTAGGTTTTGATTACCAAATAAGGGTGCGTATTATGCGTGAGTAGAAGCATTTTCTGACACCTTCAGCACAATTTTAGGTGTGTGTATTATGGATGAAGGCGTATTTATTATACATGGGGAATTATGATATTATGCGTGTTATGCATAATTAAAAACAATCTTTAAAAAAAAATGCCATTTCATAGGTAGATTTCATTTACGAAATGATGACTCACCACAAACATACGACAATTTGACACTAACATTCGGCGATTGAATGTCAAATACAATCATATGTACCTAAGAATATTTACAAATGTAAAATAAAATAAGACTTACCATAAAAATAAATTAGAATAATATTATTCTATGTTTAAAACCATTTTTAAAAATAAGTGTAGGAAACGCTGGCTGTAATGAAATCGGATAAGTACAATTTATAGGGTTTGATTAGTAAACAAGGGGTGCGTATTATGCGTGAGTAGAAGAATTTTCCCACACTTTCAGCACAATTTTGTGGGTGCGTATTATGGATGAAAGCGTATTATTGATGAATGTAAAAATATATATATATATATATATATATATATATATAT